GACTTTATGAGTTGGCAGACAAGAAACTCGATCTCCATGACAAGGTTACCTCCGCTTGAACCAACATTTTCTCTTTTGTGATCTTTGATGTTGTCTTTTCTAGGAAAGTGAAGGTGCAAACGGAATTGGTCGCCACTTATTGGCCTATGCAATTTTCCAGTCAAAAGCATATGCAGAGGTATGGAGATTTTTTGTATTTACCGATAAAACGTTGTTCTGTAGACTCTCAGGCCATAGCATTGTCAAGTGATTCGCAATGGATGTTATGAATTTGATTTTGGGTATGCCACATAAGGGCCAATGTTATGGGATGGGATGCAGGCATTTAAGGTTGTTCGAAAAGAAAGCTAGAAAAGTCGAAGTGAGCCTGAGTACCACGAGAGATAGTGAGTAGTGCATAGTACTAACATCAAAAGCGTACGAAAGCGTACGGAAAGGGAAATCACTGAAATTTTCGATGAGACTCTTCACAACCCTTCAGTTTTCATTTTAGTGTGAAGCTTTCTTGATCGAAAAGGAGCTTGATGTTTATCGAGCACATCCCTCATTGGGAATGTCGATAGTGGAAGTTATAGCTGAGATTGCCATCGAGATGGATAAGAAGAAATTCAAATCGGTTCGTTCAAAGTTTTCATTTTTTCTTACGAATTTGATTGTTTACTGTTTCTTAAGCTATTCTGTCTGAGACATGTCCTCATTTCGTCTAGGGTAGTAGGGAACTAATTTCAGACCGTATTGCCTCTGCTGAAAAGTTATCTGGACACTGCTATCACCAGAACCTCTGTCGAGTTTCTCTATCTCGCCTTACTTCTCAAAGATAGGTTTCCTGTGAGTTTTTTTTCTTCTCCAAAGGGAAACTCAATTTCCATTATCTACCATAGCCACCTTGTTGGCTTATCTCTTTTTTCGAATCTCCATATTCTGAAGGTTGTGTCATATTGCAGTCGTATATGTCTAATTCTGTGAGCTTTATTCAAAAGGATGGCTCCTGCGACTTTACTGCAAATGATTTCACATTTTTATTATTAATTGTAAAGGTGAGTGATACTGTCAGGAAACCAAATTTAGTATATGCTGCACATTCTGATCCTCTTTTAGAAATGTGACAGTACAGCATTAGCACCGTTGCTGAATACGCTTTTGGCTTCCTCTCGTGCTTCCGGACAATTTAGTGATGTTTACAGCAGTGAGTCGCCTTTTTCCGAACTTGTATTCTTTCTAGAAATTATATCTTATGAACTGAGCAACAAATTGTTTTTTGGTAAGCAGTAGCTCTAGATGTGGTCTCAGTTACCGTTTATTGGTTCCTCCTAGTACGATTTGGTCAGAGTTCATCCCGAAGGTAAATCGAATGCATCCGTTTTCAAGACGGAAATCGTTTTTGAGAACACGATTGGGATTGTTTTTTAAAATACATGATCCCTTTCCATCTTGTCGACCTTCTGGATATGGGAGGGAACGCCTCATTTTGATGCTGATCTTGGAATGAGCTCTTTGTTGGTGATACGCTTCACCACCATACAGGCCCTTGGACGGAGGCTTACTTGGTCTTGCTCTAGTACAATGTTACGGCATTTCAGATGTGGTTGAGAAGTGGTGCACTTCGGGCGATGAATCGAAGGTACTCGAAAGAATTTTCAATACAGTAAAGTTAACACTTTCAACAGGAGATGCGACATATAAAGATGTAATGCTTTACTCTTACTACAGTTTAATCTGTTGTTTTCATCGCCCTTACCGATTTCATCTTTGAGATACTGGCAGTATTTTCGCCAGCTCTACTTAAAGGAATCGTTCAAGTAGCGCGTGGAAAACAAACCCCTCAGCAGAGAGTTCTACATAGAAAGGTAACACTTTTTTGTCTGGGTTTCATTTTCCTTCGTTTCTATTTGATTAATTCTTGTGTATTTTTATCATGGTAGCTTATTATGGTAAGCTAAACGCAGCGGCCATGCTGTTTTCTTGTAAGGTCGCAACCTACATCGCCTTGGTTCATAAAGCTACTGTTCCTATACACTAATTTTGTAGAATAATCGTTTAATCTTGTCTCCTTTGTACCAGAATCGATCGTTTCTTTTTGTTGAATCGTACTGGGATTTCGCATCACAAGGTAATTCTTGTTGACGAATCCTTCAAAAGGCACTTCTTGCTGTCGGCTCTCTCTTGGAATTTGTTTTCATCAATTTAACAACTAGCGCTGACTTGCTAACTTTGAGGGGTGGAGGTTTATTTGACCTATTAAGATCTAGAATCTATACGAAATCTCTGATTACTGTAAGTACTTGTGTAGATCCTGGCTTGAACGCAAAATTCTATCCCTATTGTCTCGAAATTCCAATGATCGTCGTCAATCCATAAGTAGGCCGTTTATTTCTGTGTCCTTTCATGAGGGAGCGATTTTCAATCTTATCACTTCATAATATTATGTTACACTTGGTATTATGGAATACTATTTTCACTTCAGAAAGGGTTTAGTATAATTTTCAGTCCCCCAGTAAGCTGAATACATCTCCTTACAAGTTCATTTCTTCTTCTACGCCGAAGTATTCCCTTTTTAACAGTTTTATTTCATTTCCGAGGTTCTTTTTTGGTCTATTTTTCTGAAAATTGCGGAGCAGCTAAAGCCCTGAAGGCAAAATATCCCTGAATGAATTGTGGGACATTATTTTTCATCTATCTATTTATTTCATTCTTCGTGTTGTCGTCTCAAGTGTTCATGTAGGATTTACCTACAGGAGAGTATCTTTAATTCTGCTAACCAAAGGTTCCCATATCTAGCAACTCGGCCGCTTGCCAGCAACCCAGTAGCTGCTTGCTTATGTTCTCTTGCTCTTTTGGAATGTGATTTGGTGTTGAAAACCAAGTCTTTGAGAGTCAATGGTTGAGTTCCTATCCTTGAAAAAGCTAGTGACGTTTTTGCTTTACCTATGATCAGCAAAACAATGGCTCAGAAAATCACAAAATTATTTCTCTTCCGACCTGTTGATTTTAATTTATCAGTTTCTGATTTTTTTTCCACGATTCTGAATGGACTCATCTAATGGCTTTATACCAACCGCTTTCTTGAAGGGCTCTTGATATGTGGATACTCGGTTACTGGGCTTAGCTTGTTCATGTTGTGAATGTTTGAACGTAATACCTGGAATCGCATCGCCACCTCATGAAACTCCGTCGAATTTGTTGCTTCAAGCACTGCGTTTAGTTGGATAACCCTCTAGGAGTCTTTTGTTTCACTATGAAACATCGTTTTCAGATTTGTTCTTATGATTTTCCATGGTCTGTATGAAGCGTGTTTTCAAAACTAGCGTAAAGATCCTAAGCATGGCTTCACTTGGAGGGCATCATTTTATTCAGTCTTTCTTTTCGGAACTAGATCATCTTAGAGGTAGAAAAAAAAACATTTGGTAATAGTCAGGAGGTACAATAAGTAATTTGGAAACGAGGGCAGCAGCAGTGCCCATCCACACACTATTTTGTGAGCTCACCCTCTGTCGATCTTGCATATGCTGCCCTCTTTTTCCTCTTTCAGACTGGGTTAATTACGGTTCGAAAGAGTAAAGAGAAAGCCGTACCCTGCATGGCTCATGGCCTCGGTCTTTTCAGATGTACCAATGGTTCTAATTAAAACTCAAACGTTTAGATAAACGGATGGTCCTACCATCTTATCTTTTCATTCTGCGTTGTAAGAAAGAGAAAATATATCATTACTTCATTGAAAGCAGAATTCAAAATGAAAGAAATATTTTACAACTCCAATATACATAAATTTTGATTAGTCGTCGAAGAATTTGTCGACCATCTGCTTCTCATGCAACAATTGTATGCATTCTTCGGGCACTGTAAAAAGTACTATGGGTTTTTCTTCCCCGATCGCTATTTTGATGTAACAACATGCAAATCGATGTAACAGAGTTGATTGGCTTCGAAATTCTACTTACTCTTTTTACATTGTTGCTTGAGTTCTTCATTTTCTACGCAATACTCAGTTGCCTTGTCACAATCTAATTTACAAATATCCAAGGTCGGAATCCACATTGGATCGGCGAATGGATCTCCGCCTAAATCATCAATCTGTATATTTTTAATCAGAAGTTTTGATCCTATCGTAACGGAGTAACCACAAGAGGTACCACAACTAAATTGCGAACTTATTGGCGACCACTCGCATTTTCATGTCAGCCTTTTTCGAAGATTGGCATTTTACATATTTTTGTAGATTGTCCTATTACTTACTTACTGGCGCAATATGTCATACTATTCTTCTTATTAATAGTGTCATCAGTCCAGAGCCCATCAATCGTCTGTTATATCGCTAAGGGGTCTCAGGATTCTTGAAGGCGCTCGAAGTGTCGAGGAAGCTCGTCTGCTTGACGAAGAACTGCTGCGATTAGCTGGAGACTTATTGAGCTCGGAAACATAGAAGTAGGAAAGTTTTGCCGCCTTGTCAAGCCAAATGTCGCAATAATTCCAGAGGGTGAAGTGTTTTGACCTTAATCAGTCCTGTTTTTGGAGCCCTTCCCTCAACCCTTGGAGCTCGACTTTCATTTAAAATCATATTGCTATTTTGGATCCTTATGTGGTCTATATATTGAATTGCGGTGGTAGGGTTACAGCAGTCAGTTCTACGATGCTCGTCGTCCGCGTAGCACACGCATGATCCGGGTTCCGATCCCCGTACAATGCATGAGATAATGCGCCACTTGCCATTGCACCACTTTTGCCTAAATACTGACATAGTGTTGAGCAGTTTGGTTGCATTGGGTTCGTTTCTTACGTCACATCTTTGGGAAGAAAGATGTTTTATGGGTTTTCGCTCGAAATATCGAAAAATACCTCAAGCAATCTTAACTATTATCCACTGTTCAGGCAAATTGAAAAAGATAAGAGCTCAGCTGCAGATTTGATGCACTCTTCCTACGAGGATTAAATCTATAACTATAAACTGCCAAGAAAACCCTTATGGTAGCACGAACACTGAATTAGAAAGCAAAAGGGCATACGCAAATCTACACAAAAAACGGGTTCAGCGTCAATCACGTTAACATTCCGAGATGTTTTGCCAAATTCCTCATGATGGAAAAAACTTGCTGATCCAAGTATCTCAGGGAGGAAAAATTGATGAGAAAGCTTGTTCGAACTTTCTGACGAGAAAGGACGGTTCGCGACAACTCAACAGCAGTTCAAGAATTTTGCTTGGTAGAATTTTCCAATTTTGAGCTTATTTTGGGGTGAGCATCAAGGAAGTTTTCTTTTGAGTCATTAACTAAGGAAGCAAAAAGAGTGCCAGACCTCATTATGACCTTTGTATAGCTTGAGAGCGGGTTTCAAGGTATCTGGGGACAGCTATAACAGTGAGCGCCTTTCTTTTTCGTCTCCAAACTTCTGTATGTGCGGATCGTGATTAATTTCCGATGGGTGTTTGGTGGATATCTGCGTCGTTTTAGAGAAATGAAGGGATTTTAGAAAATAGATCAACCTAGGAGGATAACCTTTGTTTTCTACGACGTAATCCCTTTGGTCCCGAACTCGGCCTCTCTCGCCTCCTATTCACGGTTTGGCGAGTGACCCTGGTCAGATCCTGCTCACGCAAACCTATACTTTCATTTTTTCGCGGTCGTCAAAGGATATGTCTTTCGTTAAAAAGAACTGGCAATTTGAATGGCTTTGAATACCCACTATTTTGACTAGGCATATGAAAACCCTATAATTCCAGACGAAAGAACAAGCAATACTTGACGCTGGCGTATGTATAGCAGGAGCTACGAAAACCTGCACTTTCATAGGAGCAATCACCTTAACTTCATCGTCTCTCCATACGCAAAGGGGTAGCTAGTTGACTGGAAAAGGGATGGGAGAGAGAGAGATTGCCGTTTGGTTGCTCCTTAAGCCCACTAAAATCTCTTACCGTTAATTGCTGCACTATTTTTGGCCAGAAAATGTAAGCATCCATATTCTCAGTGTTTGAATACATAGCAACAGTTACTTTCGCATCTCCAGAAGGTGCGACTTGGATGCGGGGAAGCGAAGGCTCCACTAAGGATGAGATGTGCTACGTCGTGGGCCGAGATCTTTGATGCGGTTAATATTTCATATTTTCCTTTTCTAAATGATTTCTTCACTTTTTCACTGCCTTGAAATTCCTTACTTGGCACTTGGAATAAAAAAACCCCAAGAATGTCCAAAACACGATGCTGATATTCTATAAAATCTTTTTGCGCAACGTTAATGGGGGAAAAAAGGTTACACATGCTTAAGGAAACTCAAATTCCACCAACCCATGTAATATTTCGATATGAAGTAATCGATTGGAAATAGGTTTTAGAGATATGTCATGCTGGAAGAGGAGGTCTGTGCCAACTATCCAGCGCCTTGTTTTAGCCTAAAGCTTGCACCTCTTTTGGTCTTCTTTAAAGCTGGAAAAGGTTGTATAGTATGAAACTACCACTCACAAGCACTTTTCGGGCACGCGTTTCCAAAAATAAACAGGGGAAGGGTTTTTCGAAGAACTAAACCAGTTCTCATGATGTCGCTCCTTCAGGGCTGTTGCTTACCTAGTAGACCGCCACTTACTTCAGTGCGAACCCCTCTAGAGTCCCAGTGAAATACCAGCTAAATTTAGCCCAACACTAAATGGTGATGGAACTCGAGCACTTCATGGTTTGAATCCAGCCTCGGTAACCCTAAGTCTTCATGTCATTTTTCGACCCGTTATTCATACTCTTGGTTCGCTATGAAACGTAGACACTGGCGCTATGACTTGATCTCCAATTTTGAATAGAGAGAGACTTTTACTGGTAATAAGTTACATGCATAGAACGCCATAAAAGGTAATGGTGAATTTGTATTACTCAGAGCTGACCAATTCACTTTTTTTGTTAGGAACACAGCTTATTCCTGTCCTCCGGGGGATCGGGGAACAGTAGGTTGCAATTTGAACTCCTTTTGGACCTTGAAGAGTCCTCGTTAGTCAGATCCGGATACAGTTTCACCTTTACCTCAACTTTGAACAAATGAAATGTTTGTGGCTTAACCCAGAAAAATCGGTAGGCATAATCAAAAATTAGAATATCGAACAAAACTTACATATTTTGGCGTTTTGAAATAGAAATTCTGCGTTGTCTTCAGATTGAGCTCGCAACAAAGTTACAAGAGTAAACAGTAGTAGATACAGGTACCAGGACGTCATGGATGCTGCTTAGAAAGCTGACAGCAGGCGAAGGCGGCGGTAGCAGCGCGAAGCAGTTCAGATGATGTTCTATTTTTGTTGTAAGATGTTGACATGCTTCGTGTAATGCGTAGAAAACCGGAATGCCTTCTTGATTTGGGCGTATTATCACAACCACAGCTGGGTGCTTGATCGGTTCGATCGGCTGCCCTAACATGTATGTTTGTTGTAATAAGGGATTATGGCGTATGCATGTGACGGATTCCATCGATCGGAAAAGCCTGTAAAGCTTGTTGACTGGGGTTTTTGATGGAACATGGGTGGGTCTGAAGAAGTTTGGGTATTTTCGTCGGATACGAAAACGGAATAGTGACAACCGAATTGGTAGACTAACCCTACAAAGGCTCAATTTATGATAATTTCGATAGCTGAGACTATGGAGATAGAAAGTAGTTGCTGTTACTGACACTCATTCTCAAGGGTGAACAACTTCTGTTTCTCTCTGCTCGTTTCAGAAAGTTGTTGTTACTCCTTTTGTTATTAGAAGAAACGAGAATTAGCGTCTGAAAGCTTAGATGATATAGAGAGTTGAATATGGTCGATGCTTTTCCCAAATGTCTTCCATCCAGTGGGGAGAATGCCTTCAGGAGTGTATGGGAATGGAATAGTTAAGAAGGACATGGGCGGTATTTTGAAACCTAAATTGAAGGGCTGGCTGTGTACGTTTTTTGTGCAGGGAATCAGGTTCAACATTCATATTATGGAGAAATGACACATATTTCATGTTTTGGTTCGGCACCCACATATTTCATTTTAATGACCTCGTGTTTGTGTTATAATCCGATTTTTTCGTTTGCTTACCACTTGTAAGTACATAAGTTTATGTTCGTGTAGATAAAAAAATAGGTAAAGTAGCTAGGTGTTCGTCATCGTTCTTGCTGTCAGCATGGCTCGCTCTACCGGTCCATGACTCAAATTTGATTCTCTGAGAGAAATCTTCAGCTTCCCTAGAGTCTTCGTGTGGGTTAGGCGAATTGATTCGTAAAGATGGATCGGTTTGACCAATTTAGGGGTATGGTGCTGTTTTATCAGTAGAAGTTGATTCGTTTTGTAGGACCACTGATTTAGCCATATAATAAAAGTAAGGAGGACTTCCCCAATGCCATTAGAAAGCAGTTGTCAGTGGGATTTATGTCATGCTCTGTTGTTCTGCTTGTGTTCTGTATTTTAAATAGGTCCCTTTGATCTGTTCCCATTTGAATTTTCATCATATCAAAGGTATTCACTCGGGGGTTCAACCTTTCCTAATACGTGGGCAGAAGAAGGTCCAAAATATTCATCGCAGACCTTTTACAGAGCCTTACCTATTCGCCCTATAAGCATAAATTTTCATTAGTCAAGGCTTAACTGCTGGACATCGTCACTAGTCCAAGCTATTAAGCTTGATTGATGTAATTGAAGAGACCGTAAACCGGCGTTTTTGGTGGCAATAGTAATAAATCACAGGAAAGTCGATGGATTATCAATCTTTTGTTATGTTTTCCCATGTTTGGAAGCCCCATAACCGACGTGTATGTAGGTTGAATTGAAGAAGGCCCGGGCTTAGTTTATGTGAAATCATTTATTGCTGAAATCGGGTTTTTCGAGCCTTTCTTCTCGGTGGTAATAGTTGGTTGAGAATGAGGATGTCTCTTTTTCTCGTTTTTCTCAAGTGTGCAGGCCACCTCCGTCACATGCTTGAGACTCATCGAAAATAGCAGGTTCTGGAAACCTAGCCATTGACTGTCACTGATTTGAGGTCTGATTCAAAGGATGGAGCAAAGATATTTTTTCAGATAGCCGATTTCTGTAAATTTACTGAGGAAGTTCTGAGCGCTGTGAAGGATGATTCAGAGTTAATAGAAGTGATCAATGCTCTCGATACAGCTGAGAGTTTCGATTCGCTAACTGGTAGCAATTTGATTGATCATCTGGTTGGCCGTCTTAGCCATGAAGGAGTGGCGAAGTGGATACAGGTTTGGAACTTGCAGAGTTTGTTTGGCAGTTAGCAGGATTTGAGCTTCAGACAGCCAATAAGCCATGGTCTTTTCGACATATATGTGCTGCTTTCCCGCACTGGAGTAACGAAGCAAAGGTGGAAGCTTTGACAAATTTGCTGCAACGACCAAGAGCCCAAGAAGTTCAGTACGCTGTTGGGAACTGCATTGACTCAATGTTTAAGATGAAGGTGAGAGATGCCTTGTGTGCTGTTTACCATTTGCTATTTACTGCTTTAGAGTCACCAGGATCAATTTTGTTGTAAGTATACTGTAATATGAAAATTGACATTAAACAGTCCCGTTTCTGGGGTGCGCCTCACATTCAATACTACTTAGAATCGTAGTGACGTTTTGGATACGTATGTGGCCAACATCGCCACAATTAATTACCAACTTTTTCGTTTTCAGTAACAAATTCCCCTCATCCCAGGTACGCGCTGGAGAATTGGTGAATGTATCGATGGGCGAAGGAGGTGAAGATGCTCTAAAGCAAACGGCCATTACGATATTCGGGAAGGACGTTTTGAAAAGTGGATTGAAGAAGATGAAAAGTTGTGAATACGCGAAAAGGTTTGCTGTTTTCCTATGTGCCTCTAAAAGTGCCTCTATCATTGATTGACTGCCCGTTCTAGTTTCGATTTCTGACTTTTCCGTTTGCAGCTATGCCCCGAAGCACCTTATTTTTACTTCTAGCCATCTAGTCAGTCGGGCCACTGAAACACCTTTTCGTGCCCCACCTAACAGTTCCGTGCATTAAGTGCGATCAGATGATGAGGAGAAAAGAAATTAGGCGATTTTCAGTGCTCTACAAATCTTTTGGATTTGCTTGAAGCTGTGGTCAAAAATGGCATCGTCAGATGAAATGTCTGAAGGATACGCGAGCAACGCCGAAGAGCTGTTCATGATAGCTCAAGGAGACGAAGACAGTCTCAAGGTGATTATTACCCCTGTAGTCAGCTCCATAGAGAATTGCCGAACACTGCACAATTTCATTTCTTTACAATATGGTCCCTGAGAAGGCTTGTATCGAGGACTCTGATTCTCTTTTTTTTGATAGTTCATTGAGTCTGTACTGGTTATGACCTTTTTCTTTGGCAATCTACACTAAACTGGGCAACTACTAAAATTTATGGGAAACCAGGAGGGCTAAAGGCTGGACAACTCGGTCATTTAGTTCTCCTTGTTATTTCCCTGCATGAGTACTCCCTTTTTCTCATCTCACTTCGTCGATTAAAACCGAGGTAACTAGTGGTAAATGCCGATCCGGCTTCCGAGGGAATTGTAACTCATTCCGAAAGACTCAAATGATAACGTTAAGGAATTAGGAAGAATCCATCTTATATTCATACGTAAGGCGACAAGGGCCCGATTAATTTGGGAACCTGGTAAAAACGAGTATGTGGAACAATTGTTCAGATCTTTTGGAGGATTCCCACGTGAGTTCCCTATAATTTTCAAATCCAATCTACATATTTTAGGTTCTGCTTGATCTATTGCTGGGCATACTCAGTCAACCAATGAAGTATCATCGCACAGTGGTTTACTATGTATTCGTTCAGCTATTGCCTCATTTTAAGAAACAACATGTTTCTCATATAATAGAGGTACGCCCATTGTCTGATTGGTAGTATCTTTCAAAAAACATTTTTCAGACAATGATGATGAACGATGACGAGTTGGCGGATGATGAAGGTAGCGAAGGTGATTCGTCCAGTGATGAAGATGAAGGTGACGCATCATTATATTTAACTTATAATTTTGTTTTTACGATCTCCGGTGGGATTTGCAGTCAAACCCCACTCTTTGCTTGAAAACTGCTCATAAGTGGTTTGCTGCTGCCAGACCTTCTTTTTCCGAAGGTTGTGGAGAGCCACAAATGTTCGAAATAAGTGCGATCCACTAGAACATCCAAGACTGTGGGGATCGGAATCGAAAGGGGTGAATAGCCGAGTGGGAGAAATTATAGAAAAGGAACATTATGAACACGGGGTTATGACCTCCTATATGGCCCCTGTCAATTTTTTCATTCTATTTCATAGACTCCTTATTCAGCATTATAGTCATGCTCTACATTGTGGTATCTTCTTGTGTGCTTGGAACCTTTTAAGCGGGAAGGTACAAGTTGCAAAACAATTTTAACGAAATTTTCGGATTTTAAGCTTCCCAGGTCTCTCCGAGTCCCAGTTATAGAATTCTCCCTACATTTACCAAGATTTTTTGAAATACTTCCTGGAAAAAGAATATTCAGAGATGGAGGACAATGACGATGCTCCTGTAGAATCGGAATCTGATAGCGATGAAGAGGTGGGTTGAAGTGTTTTAGGCTATATTCTTGAACAAATTCATTTTATTTGAGGAGGTCGAGCCCGAGGCGCTGAGTCGTCTAGAAAGTGCTTTGGGAAAGGCGGCTGTTAAGAGGAAGGGCGATGCG